TGTACGATTAAAAGTTTTTGGGCATTTTTGGACATTCTATCAATGCTTATCTGTTTTGCAAGAAAACAACTTGAGCTTTTTAACGTAGCAAAAATTTTAGCAGACACTGATTGCCAGGACAAAACTGCTTCTGACGGGACTACTGATTGTCCGCAACGTGCCTCATTGTGCCACGAATCGGATTATTACGATTACATGACAGAAAAGTGTCCGAAAACTTGTGGGCGTTGCCAAACTACAGCAACTCGTTAGTGAAGAACTATCAACAGCTCTCAAGCTGCGGCGTTATGCAATAACCCTGCTTACTGCAACATTATGACTCGAGAGTGCCCAAAAACGTGCAATTGATGCTAGATCTGCCGATATAATTTGGTTTCTGTTAAAAGCACGTGCGTAATACTTGGTCCTTCAAAGTTTAGCACTTGGACTTTATTCTATTTTGTTTCTATTACAGCACATTTATAATTTAATTTTTTTAGGACAGTTGTACTGACATGGTTAAATAGTCGTTGAAAAAAATGCCAACTTAGATATGTTGTGTGATTTACAAGTAAACAGTAGCTGAAATCTTAATTTGTTACGAACTACCAAGTTAATAGTAGTATCACTTGCCTAATAAGGTAAGGTGATACTGCATTTACTGAGAGCTAACATTATCACGAACTTTACTTACGAGGCGAGGTGCAATCTTCAGGCCCAAAAGTGTTTCACTTCTAAAGAAGCTTTTATGTTTAACTGGAGTACGTAGGAAGGCAATAACAATATGCGTTGCTAGGGCCATATGCTGCTCATGCAAGTGAAGAGGGAGTCATAATAGGTCGTGTTCAAGCGGCCTGTATTGTCAGTGTCTCACAGCCTCTGAAAATTGCTCAGCGTTGTAACTTACTGGAGGCCTCACTCACGAAAAATGTTGTTGTTATACTTTTTGGGTAACAACTTACTGCATAAGAAAAAACGTCCGTAGACCAAACATATATATTCTTTATAGATGAGATAACGGAAAGCAGGAACTCGAAGTTGCAAGATTTCACTTCCTGTCTGAAACGTTTATCAAAAATTGAGGGGAAAAAATTGAAAAATAATGGATATATTGAATAGAGTAATTCGCCAGGTTAGTTTCACAGATGCCGCCGGGGCTATAAGAATTTGCTTAGATGGGACTGTGCAGCGGTATGCTAATTTAGAGCTATTGTTGTCAGACCGGTGCTGAACGCTTGTTGCTGATAGACGAAAGTGTTAAATTTAGCAGTCGAAGGCGGACAATACGATTCGGTTAAACGACAATCTGGTATCTTCTCTGCTGCATCACGCCTTAATCTCTTTAGAAGTAAGACCATCATCTGCAAACTGTTTTTATGACATCATTTCTTCTGAAGACGAAAGGTAAACTGGTAGTGTTTGTTGTAAAGCATTTCTGAACTGATCTGGCTATGTGTTTGGTAGGTTTATTAGTCTTTCACCAAGAATCAATTAGTCACACAAGGATATGAGAAATCATCATGTGTTTAACCATTAAACAAGTTTTTTCTTCTGGTAGTATTGAAAGTCGTAAAGGAATTTCTCTTTTATTAGTCTATTTGGGTATTATTTAACGGGAATAAGAAGGGGTTCTGTAAAACTACGCGATAGTGAATTTTTGAATAACTGCTTCTTTTACCAATGTGATCGTGTTTTAGTACTTCACTGAAATCCCAGATAAAATTTTCACGTAGAGCGTTTGCTCTTTTTGTTAGCGCTCTGAGCAGAATCTCAAGGACTCAAGCCAAGCATTCAAGTTAACTTTCAAAGTCTGAGATCGCTTTTGTTGCCTACTGTTGTTTAAAATTGAATTTCCGATTTATAATTTTATACTTCCAAAATCATTGTTTGCCAGCATATCACTTTTCTCAAATTGTTGAGATTGCAATATAGACAGTCTTGCAAAACCAGTAAAAATCTTTAGCACTTTCAGAATCTATTTAAATTTATAAGGAACGTAGAAGTGCCAGAGAGCTAATTTGTCGTGAAATCACTTTGAAAGAGTTTATCTTAGAATGGTTTATAGTTAGTAGTCAGTTAAGTGGGGTTCAGGTTAAGTGTCACTTGAACTGCAGCTGCAAGTTGTAGTTTTTCAGATCAGGCTGTCAATCGAATTTTTAACTTAATTTCGTGATTATTCGATAAAAATATCGTTCCAAAAAACTTTTCTGCTCTATGTTTAATGTGACTGCAATACTGCTGCTCAATTAGTCTTGATATTTCAAAATGGTACTTTGGTCTTGTTAAATTGTTCTCCGCCCAGACGTTCTGTCCATCTTCACTTTTCGAGTCTGTCAAACTCTATAAACCGAACTATCTGGTCTTTGCTGCCGAACTCCAACTTATTCAGTATTTGATGTAGTTGGAACGTTCTTTTATTATCCCTTATAACTGTTCTTCATTTTGTTGTTGTTTATCGCTTCTGCTTATCAAAAACGTGACTACTGTGTAAAATTTTTTCTGAAAAATTTTTCTATGACTGCTAATCTAAGTTCAACTTATTTTTTTTTAATTAAACTAATTTTTACAATTTTTAAACTGTTGAAAATTGGAAAATGCCTGGTTCAAACTGAACAGTTTAACTGAATAAATGCATCAGCAATGTTTATTTGTAACCACTGATTTGTGGCAAAATGGTTTAGCTGTTCTACTGATATCAGAGCATGTTTGAAAGAAATGTTTGTAACCAATAATGCAAGTGGAAAAATTATTCCTTGTTATCAACTGTACGGTCGACAATCCAACAGCAATAACAAGTACAATAAACATTAATACAGAAATTCACAGAATATTAATAATTAGAAATCTTATAGTTAGAATTTTTAATGAGGAAATTTATCAATAGAAATTCAAAAAACTATACAATAAACAGCTGTATAATACATTTTTGTTTGGCAATATATAAAGTACAATAGAAATCTTCAAATGTTTGTTATTTACTTCTATACACTACTTGTATATTAGGAAAAAAAAGGTGTGTGTATAAAAGTAGACTGTTTTTCAGGTTTAAAAGGCCAACGAGAATATCGAATAGGCGACTTATATTTCCATCTTGACTGATTAAAAATTTCGTTTTTGCTTTAAGACGGTGAAAAAATAAGATAAATAAAGAACAAAGATTTGTTTTTTATTACTCGTGCAACAATAATGGTATATTTATGATTATAAATGAAAGTACCGAGTGAAAGTTTTGCTTCAGTTTCTTGTTGAGGAATTTCAACAGTCTTATTGCTGGAGTCTCAGCTAATTGTTGTCATCATTACGCCGAAACCCTTTGATGTCGACATATTTCGGAATAAAATACTTTGAATAGTAAATTTTAATCGGATGACTATTTTAAACTGGGACAGCTGACGCTGTAGCATGAGATACAAGAAAATTAGGGACTGTTAATGCATTGTTGACGTCAACAGATCGTCACCGAATAATTTCATCAAAAAAAAAAAGCATCTACTGGGTTGGCCAGTTTAAACTTGAAAAAAATGCCAGAAAAGCGTCAGTTGAACTATAAAAATGCAGATATAAACTAAAGACAGACAAACCTTATAAACAGTTAGTAAGAACTTTGAAAAGGGAATAATACAACAGATTGAAAGTAATGAAAAAATTTTTTTCCCTTTGTCGTACAATTATACTGTATTTCAAGACTAGTGCCAACATAAGTTAACAGTATATTTGTAATCAAAAGCAAACAAAAAAATTGCAACACTTTCCGGGATAAACGCACGGCAAGAGCCAATTAATATTCTATTAAAACAAAAAGACAACAAACCCTTTTTTCACTGGGATATACAGACACATAAAAACAGTAGACAATGCTTTTTTCTTGACAAAGATTAATTGAAAGACTTATTTGATTTCTATCTTTTTTCTTTTTTTTTTTCCGCAAAGACAGTTTAAGGAATAATTATAAGCTTAAAATAAAGCAAGGTTGAAAAAATGTTTCAGAATTATATGAAAGATAAAAAAAATTTGAAATTTACAGTAGGTATGATAGAGCACTGCTGTAAAAGTCATCAAATATTAAGATTCATTAAGTTTGCTTTTTTTTTTTTTTTTTTTGCATCCTGTGTTTTACCGTACTTTTTAGAATTTAGCAATAAGACAATTTTAAGCAACAACAGTAGCAGCAACAGAAGGAGCTACAGCTACAGCAACAGCAGTAAGAACAACAAAAACAAAAAACAACAACAACATTTGAGATTCATATCGTAATAAATTCCATATGAAAGACCGCAGCTAAAAGGTAAATAAAAGTTTGGTAACCGCAGATGAAAATGAAAGACAAAGAGGCGGGCGGGTGGGCGAGA